TCATTCATTAATCTCTCTTTGGTTACTGTTTCATCTGCAGAAAGAATTTTTTCAAAATTAAAATTGTTGAAATCATACTTGCGATCAACTATGTCGCAAGAAAAATTAAACGGACTAGCTTTGATTTCAATTGAAAGTGAACTTCTAGACAAACTTGATTATGAACATTTGATTGATGATTTTTCTTCTAAAAAATCAAGAAGATCAATTTTTAGACATTAGTATTGTACTAGTTGTGTTTTTTTTTTTCTTTTGGGGGAAAAAGTTCTCGTAATATTTTTAATTCTTCAAATAAAGACACAAAATACAATGTGAGAGATTTTTGGATAGTCATATGTTTTTGTTGTTGCTTTTGTGTTTAATGCAATATAATCTAATTTATTTGTGTGCAACTACTCTTTAATTTGTGATTGCCAATTTGTTTTTCTTCTTATTAAACACATATTGCTTATTAGAGGCAGCAAGGAACCTTATAAGGACACAAGGAGCTTATTTTTGTACCAAACATTTAATTTGATCAAATACCATCATTCATTTTAAAAAATGACACCATCTCCACTTCTACATTCAACTCCACCACTTGTACCACCATATTCACTACCTCCACAACCACCGCCACCACCACATCCTCCTCCTCCTCATCCTTCGCCACCACCACCACAACCACCACCTCCTCCACCTCCAAAACCATCACCACTACCACCACCTCTTCCAAAACCTTCACATCCAACCCCACCTCCACCTCCAAAACCATCACCACCGCCACCACCACTACCACCACCTCTTCCAAAACCTCCACATCCGCCACCACCTCCACAGCTAACACTACCACTACCACCACGCTGCCACTGCCACCACCACCACAACCGCCATCCCCACCACCACAACTACCACAACCACCAACTCTTCCTTCATCACCACCACCACCTCCACTCCATCAGCACATGATTAGTACATAACACTTTCAACATCATGTGTATTTTAGTCATTATTCACAGTTACAACAATTTTATATTAAAATTTACCAAACGGTTTTGACATTGCTTTTTATACTAACAACACTTTAAAAATATTGTTTCTCAAACATGGAGCTGCTTTACTTTACAATTAATTATTTTCAAAGTACAGTAGAAGCAACTTTTTTTAAAAGTGACAGCAATCCCAAATTAGGCCTTAGTACCCCCAACCAAAATGCTTTTTTCAGACAAGGAGCTTTTGAGCAAGAGTTTTGATAGCCTCCTCAGCAAGGATTTCATACATTTTTTCTGTTGGATGAACAGCATCCCAGAATACGTATTTTTCTGGATCAGTGCATGTCTCTAAGCCCCTGCATGAATCTCCAAACTCTGTGGTTCCAGTCCCGCAACACCCTTTTGAAGTCTCAGACAAACCTGCCAGTTTTCACAAAACTTAAATTCTCAGTCTCTCTGATATTCATGTATAGAAAGAAAGCAGAAAAATTAAACTTACCGTACAATGCTGGGTTGTTTATGGCATTTTGGATAATACCATAAGCATCAACAAAAGCAGTTTTCATTCTAGATGTTGCGCTTATGGTCTCCAATTTCTCTTGTATCTTGGAATTCAATGAGAATGCCAGTTTGTTGTAATTTTCGGCACATGTCGTCGCGTCCGTTATCGTTTTGACAAGTGGCATGCATCCCAAAGGAGGGACCCCAACAACAACCAATCTTGTGCCTCCTAGCCTATGCATTTTCTGCAAAAGAAAATTAATGGCAACCAAAAAAAAAAAAGTTTCAACCAGAGAAGGGTACAAAATGTAAATTGGATAGGGCACGAAGGGCAGTATGGCCAAAAACTATGAGATTAATTTAGAGATGAAGAGCACCTGAATGGCATTAGCCATGCAAGAGACCAAGTAATTTTGATACTCTTCCACAGTGAATTGCTTGGGGCGAGTTGGGTCCAAGTAGTAGTCTTGGAGAAAGTCATTTGTGCCCATACTCATGACGAAGACGGCAGTTCTAATGATATCCTCAGCTCTCTTCTGACCAACCAGTTTTCTTAGTTTGACTTTATAATGCATCAAATACTTCAGCTGGCGGGGAAGAGATAGAACACTCTGTTGAACCATAACAAGAAAAGTTTAAAATCAAAATGTGACATGTATTAGTTGACATGTTGCATTTACTTAAGTAACATCTAATTAAGTACTTAATCCCAAGAATTTACTGAAATATTAGCGGTGAAATCATCGTAACCCGAAGCAGCTGATGCAAAACTAGCACCGTGAGGCAGATCTTTCAGCTTCTTATTGGGATCAAGAAATGCTGGGATTGTTTTTGTGTAGCCAATAGCGTCCGCTGGTAATTCATAAAGGGGACATTTTCAAGTTAATTAAACTGCTTACAAGATAATATTTATTAATGTGTCTAATTAATCATGCTTACCAATGAAATCTGTGGCAAGCCTTCCATTGCTGAACCTTCCAGTTGGGCGGCCATTGTAGAAGTCTTTGCCATAAGGAAGGAAATTGCTCTTTATGGTGGTCACTATAAAATTGTTGTTGCCAGAATCTACACTTGAATCTCCAAAGACCAAGATACATGTCACATTGTTGCGAGCAGCAATTTCCTTCACTCGACCAATGACTGGAGCTCCTGAGAGCAAAGGCAGCAGCAGCAGCAGCAAAGCCAATTCCACGATCACAAGTGCCCCCTTCTTCTCCACCATTATTGGCCAAGTTTGACGCATGACACAGTAGAAAAACTTTGGGTATTGTTTTGTGTTGAGCTTGACCTCCCTCACCTCCTCTTTAATATGCTGATGTTGTAAATAGCTTGGATTGTAATTTTGGGACAGTGAATTTAATGCTAGCTACTCAAGCAGATATTTCACATAAATGCAGTAGACTCTAGAGCCCAGTAGATGCACATAAAAGTCGTTGCGGAATGATAATGCTAAACTCTGGTTAAAGGTGGCGAGCAAAAATATTCTCTTAACTTCACGAACTAAAATGACATCAGTGCATCTGAGATATCAATAAGATATCAATAAGAAGGATCCAGTGACCAGGTGTGTGATTATTAAGCAATAAATTCATGTCTCTGGTATGAAGTACACCAGCTTTTGGCCAGCTAACAAGTCGAATATTGCAAGGATCATTTTTAAGTTTTTCTTACCCCTGTTTTTATTCATATAAAGTTGCAATACTATACATATGCGCATTGCTGCATAAAGCAAACTGGGAGATTTTTCTATAGCATATGTACTGATAGTTAATGCTAAATATTCAGGTCCCACAGTGAAGCTTTTTGTGTGGTGGAATTGCATTGCATATGGTCGCTGGACAGAATTGAATGCTCCAACAAATTTCTGCTTTTCTTTCATGGCAAGTCAAGAAATTGGTTGCCAATTATTTGAAACCAAATTTGGGTCTGAGTTTACATGTTGAGATGGTGATGATGTGGTTGACTTTTTTCTGAAAATGTACAAGCATTCATTGATTGATCGATTTGACCCACACAATTTACTGATTTGTGTGATACATGCTGCATGCAGTAATGTCATTTTGTGTAAAAAAAATATTGCATCCTGCTATTATTAAGGTACATGTGAATGTCATTTGATCATAAAGATTTGGGTTCTACTACTTCCATTCATAATCAAATAAATATCGTATTTATTTGAACATAAGTGAGGAGTGTTTCAATACATAACTATTATTCGCTCATATGATGCAGGTTTTTTTTAATCATTTTAATTAGTTTTTATGAAGCAAAAAGGGTCTACTCCAGTGAAAAAATGAATTTGTTAAGTGTAATTAGTAGGTCAACAAGTTAGGTAAGAGATTAGTTACAAGTCAGGTGCTTAGCACGTGTATTAGTTAGACAGCTAATCTGTGTTGTTATTATGTTAAGCTACTATGTACTCTGATTATATAAGAGTGTGCTATGCTTTGTAATAGTTAGTTGATTGAAAATACAATACAAAAACACTTCATTCTTCTCTATTAACTTGCATTGACTATTCTTACCATTGACTTGTAGACTAGAAGTCTCAAGTTCGAATCCCTATGGTATCATAGTTGTGTGTGTGTGTGAGAAATCCTCACCTTGTAGTTTAGGCTATTGCTTGTACTAAAAATTTATAAAAACTAATTTTCATGAAATGGATTAAGATATGTTGATTAAAGGGTAACATTTACTTTAGTCATTTGACCAAATTTACTAGGGGTGTACATTGCTTTGAAACCAATGAATTTTTATTAATCCAATTGAATGTAATTTTTTATTGGATTTGAGATTTTAAGATTCGATCCAATGTGTTCAGATGTTAGGATCTAATTCAATCCAATCCAATCCAATGTACATTGAATTGAATTGGTTTGGATAGTCGGTTTGCACGAAAATGTGATAATTGCAAAAATAATCATATAGAATTCAATCCAATAGAAAATACCATTAAGTATATACTAAGTAGACATAAATAAATTTTAGAAAAAAATACTACAACACGAATCGACATTCAGAGTTCAAGTTACATCAATTCCTATAAAAAAAATGCTTAAATCAACACAAAAACTTAGAAATTTATAATTTTTATGCTATATTAATATAATTTTTCAAAAGAATATCAACAAAGTTGTGTTGATGCGTTGGTGTAAGTGGCACGTGAAAGGTGGTTTAGGTTTAAATACTAAGAAATGCAAATATTTGCATATATTTTTAAAAGGTTGGATCTTTTTAGTTTGAATTGGATTTCAAACTTTGAATCCGCTAACCAAACCGATCCAGTCGGTTTTTTTATTTTTTTGAATCCAATCTAATTCGTTAATATTATTGAAATAAAAAAATTTGAATTGAATTGGTCTGGCAGATTAGTTTGGATCCTGTACATCCCTAAAATTTACCAAGATTTCGTTGTAGCCTAGTTGGCTCTCACTCGAAAGACCGGGTTCAATTCCGGCAACGCAACTTTTTAATTTATAAGTTTGAACTTTAAACCTTCAAAACCATTTTCCAAGCACAAACGGCGTCAGTCCCGTCTGCGTTCGTTTTTGGCGGGAACAGAAAAACATTTTTGTTTTAATTATTTTTACGTCTTCTATTGTCTCTCCTAAGTCCAAAAGACGGATTAGGGTTTCGAAATTTTGGCAGAGGGAGAGATGGAGAAGCCTGGCAGTATGAGAACCGTGGGAGGAGGGATCGAAGAGAACATATTGGCAATCCTCGACTCTTCTGAAGCTAAAGACACTCTGGACGCCTTCGAGGATAGTAAGTCTAGCTCTGTTATTGGCTTTTGTTGCTAATTTTCTGTTTGTCTGCTAAGAAAATTTGCTAGAAAAGGAAGTGAGCGAGCTAAAATTAGTTCACGTCTTAGTTGTTTTGGTGCTCGGAAAACGAAAATTTCAACTCAGTTCTGTCTCACAGTAGAATTGCACCGTTTCATCTGTATCTTTTCTTCCTACATTTTTATAATTTATTTGGTAATTGATGAACAGGAGTCGCTTTTATCGAAGCTGTTCGTGCTGCTTCCATTATAGCAAAAAATGGAACTCCACCTACCTAGTATATATATCTCTCTCTGTTATAGGCATACGGTAAATTGATATTTACAATGTATGTCTGCCCTAATACCCATCTGTTTATATCAATCTTGTTGCACAGTAAAATGTATGAGGCAATCTTCTCCATATTGAGGATTGGAAAGTCTCTAGAATTGACTATGGCAAGTTTTCAGCTTTTGAATGAGTTAGATAAGGTACCCAGTCGCTCCATTAAAACTTCAATTTATATTCAGATGGTGCAAAGTTTTCTCACTAATTCTTTTTGCCTTATTTTGTAGCATTTCCCTCGGGTAAATTCTTCTGATGTGGATAAATCAAATTCATCAAGCAGTGTACCTGAACTAATCATGGTTCAAGAGGTACTAAGGTTTTTTTCCTCCGTCTATTTGATATAAATTTATGTTGTAACTAGCTCATATTGTATCATAATTGATGTCATTTCTCTGTGCTTGTTAGGTTTGGTTTCCATTCGTTTTCAGCTCTGAAAATGCTAGCCGTGAGAGGGGAGCTGCGAATAGCTCAGAGGGACCAGTTGACTCATCAGTGAGTTGGATTTGATGTGGACTGGCAGTTTGGATTATTTTGGAGTTCTTAACCATTAGTATAACAGTAATTAGTTTGTTTAATTTGCTTTTTCTATTCCTATTTGGAAAGAGTCATGGTGCATAGACAAAGGGTAATAGATCACTGCTTGAGACGTTGTTGTAGTGTGATGAGCTACTTCAATTTCCAGCTCATTTTTTATTTTGTTTGGAACTCTAATTGGAACTTGATTTTCAGTAGCTTATCTGTTGCAATTTCACCTTGCTTAAGTGTTCTCTTGCCAACTGCAGGGTTTCCAACTTTTGATACAAGACCTTGCTGACGCAACCGATGAAGGAAACTTACGAGCATCAGAAACAAAGGTTAGTTCACTCGCAGTAAGAGAATAGAAAATGTTCCATTCAATTCGTGCTAGCTAATCTCATCGTTGTATTGTAAAAAAGCTGTCTTTCAATTTGTGGTTTTGAGTTTTGACTGAGTGTTTTGTTCTGGTAGTTTTATGCCATATAATTACTTAATTTGTCTTGCTTCATTGGATAAGCGGAATTTCCCCATCTTTTTTGGTCTGTCTTGATCTTCTTTTGTTGCAGTCCTTAGCAAACATGCTATTGTTTCAATACCTAGTTAACGTTTTTGAAGGAGATTTTCAACCACGTAACAGTGTCTATGAAGGTAAATTGATATCTAATTATCGGTTATTTTATGCCTCTAACTTTCTGGAAGTTTCAATTTGCTCGTTATTGTTTGCAGATACCATGAACTGGGTAGTTCTGAGAGAGTCTTTACTGAACGTGCTTCTGGTATCCCTTTCTCTTTCAAGCCATGAATACTGAAGAGCCCGTTTTCCGTTGTTGATTATCTGGTTATTAAGTGATTTTTATACCACGAATCTTGCCCTCAAAATTAAGTTATCTTTTGAAGGTGTCAAGAAAAGTAAACTACAAAAGCTTGATGAAGGATTGCTTGACCATTATGTGTAAACTGTATCAAAACTGTGCTGGATTCACCGACGATCTGATATGTTCAGAGAATTCTGCGGCACAACCAGCTGAAAATTTTGATACTGCTGCTGCAATTTCTTTACTTGAGGTAGGAAAGCATACCTGCATAGCCATGCAGAAGTTTCTAATAATGGTAAGCCCCTTATCAATGTTTTAATATTTGTAGAATCAGTTTCTGCATTGGCACTGATTTTGGTCCTGTTCAGATACTGGAGCTTGATGTGTCCAAGAAGAGTGCAGAGACGCAAGGTTCTACTACCCGAGCTGATGGTGTCAGGTATTTGTTTCTCATTCTTGGTAGAGTTAAAGTTGTTATCTCTCTCTCTCTCTCTCTCTCTCTCTCTCTCTCTCACACATGCACCAGCACTTTTTGGGTTGGTGCAGAACTCCTCTGGTGGAGATAATTCTGGATGAGCTAACATACAATAGAGATATTATTTCCCCATTTCTTCAGGTTCATATTTCTTTTAATCGCTATCCCTTTTTCGCTTGTGGTTTGCCATGTTTCTGTATCCATATATAATCTGTGTGCCGGCCACCTCACATGGAACAAGTTTCATATCTCTCTTAAAGTTTGACGATGTATCTTGGAATTTCTTATGCTTCATTCCTAATGTTTAAGAATGAGAAATTTGACTATTTATGATAAGTTGGCCACTATGTCTTCTGCCAGTTCTTTATGAAGATGCATTGCAGGTTTTCAATGAACCTAAATGGAAGCTTGAGGTAGTTGTGCAGTACTTGTGGAAGTACATTGGTAAGGTAAGCTTTCATAGTGCGGTAATAAACTATTATGTTTTAAAATCAGCCAACCAAGGTACTGCTGTAGGTATTTCCCTTTTTTTTTTTTTTTCCTTCTTTTATCTGTGTTTTTATTGTCCTGAAATGCTTTTTATTTTTGGTGTTATCTGTTGTCTGCTTACTTTTTCCTGAGTGCGTTTGATATGGTTATGAAGGTAGTTGAAGCACAATTTTGCGTTATTGATAGTATCCTCATTTAATTTATTATATTATACTTTTTGTAGCCTTCTGTTCGCACTCGTAGGTCAAACAGTCCTACGGACGATGCATCATTCAGTGGAGCATTGAAGTGCTTTTCAAATATCACCAGCACAAAAAGTACCTTAAAAAAGATTAGGACAGAAGTAGTTCAGTTGTTGTTAGCACATGGCTTTCGGGTGATTATTCTTGCTATTCATACATACTAGTAGTATTCTTCTAATAAAATTAGTTTTATGGGGTGATGTGTTGGTTGATTCTTCAAAGGATGTAAAGTCAATTTTCCGTAACATTCTTGATTGTTGTGGTTGTGTGTTGATTTTTCAGGCTCATTTGTCGCTACCAAGTGAGCACCATCCTGTTGAAGGCACCTCTGCTTCCAATGAAGAAAGAAGTTGCAGCTCGCTTATTGAGATATGCAAGAATATAATATCTGCGTTTAAAAATATGAAGACAGCAGACAAGTAAGATCAGAATCAGAACCAATGCTTCATGTTTTCTCTGCACATGTTCATGCCCTGTAGTATTTGGCTCAGTACTCCTAACATTGTTTTTAACTAACAAAGGTTAGGCATAAGACATACAAACTTGAGCTTGTTCAAACAGTGACCATGAAACCAGTAATGTTGTCCTGAATTTGCTAATGTCCAAATCCATTAATGGAACATAATATCCATGCGGTTTATCGTTTTTTCTTATACTTTTTTCATTCATTTCTTACATGTACTCTTGACAATTGAAATGTCTATCGTCAATTTCAGTATCTTTTGTTTTTTCTTCTTTTTAACCTCATGTTATTACATTACATGGTTCAGGCAGATGGAGATTTTGTCACTTGGTAAGGAAGCACTATTTACGGCCGCTACTATCATATCAGCAAAGTCATAGCATGTTTCAGGTAACTTGATTCAAAGCTCTTGTATGTAATTATATAGTAGGAATTGGTTCATGTATGCAACGAACTGCACATTCATGGATGGATATAAAAAATGCCCACTAAAATAATTGACTTTGACTTGGATCTTGATCATGTTAGATTGCCAGGGATTGATTTTTATCCTAAGCTACAACAATTGTATTTTCATCTGAAGAACTGCTCTGCTCGTTTCTGTTTTCTTTTTTCAGGTCAGGTGCAAATAGCATCTTGTGGAAGCTTGACAAGCATTAAGGAATGTGCTGCATGCTTTATTTTGGCAGGTCCTAAACCTTCATGCAGCTCATTTATCTTTGTTTTAGGATAAATCTGTAGAAGACTGTTGGAAATGTTTTTGTAAATGCGTATTGCTTTGGCTATATATTTAAGAAGAAAAAAACCCCAAAATGTATAAATATTTATGAACAAAGCCATCTCTCCAAGAACATAACTTGAACTTGATGCGTCCATACATGCTACCTTAAATTCACATGATCAATCAAGAATGTTGAATATTACATCCCACAAATCCAGATTCAAATTCCAGTCCATTGCTAAATCTTCCGTCAAGCCAACCGACGAAATTATGATTGTTCTTCTACCACACCATTTGAGTTCCTGAGAGGATTGTTAACAAAATAAAAAACTAAGTCGAACGCAAACACTATGATGGAACAAACTGCAAACACCAGGGGAGTATTATTTATTTACTTGGGGGATTGCGAGTCAATCTGCATTGTGACTGGTCCATCATTGACCAAGCTGACCTGTTTATTACACCATTATTTATATATAAATGATCCAAGACTTAGAGAGATTTCTCAGGATAATGCAGAAAGAGTAAAATAAACTCTTTACCTTCATCATCGCTCCAAACACACCATCTGCATGCACACAACCGTAAAAGAGATCAAATGCATTTCGAAACGAAAAGAAAGAAGCTAAAATTGTCAACATCTGATTCTGAACGACAGATTTAGTAGTTCATGAAGCAAAGCAAGCAATATCACACCTTTGACTGCATCTGGTTTGTAAGATTTTCTGAAGCTATCCACCAAGGAAGCATAAAAGGGCTTTGCATTCTGGGGCGGCATTGCCACGTGGAAGTCTGGCTTGTTACCCTTCAACACTCCGTACAATGTAAACTGGCTCACTGCTATTCACACTCTCACAGCATTAGACTTTACTTCTTCCAAGTATACAAATCCAATAACCACCACAAAAATAAATAAAATTTACCCAGTAAGACTTCATAATTTCTCTGCATTACCTGAAGGATAAATACAAATATTTAAAGTAAATATAAAAGCCTAACGTACAGTTGAAGTTAGAAAGGGGAAAGAGGGGAAATTACGTTTTGGTCCCATCCTCTGCCGGAGCTTTCATTTGGGAACAGCCTCATATTCAACACCTTCCGGCATCTGAAAATTTTAATTAACTTCTGTCGGTTTAATTTTGAAATTGAAATTTTTTTAAAAAGAGAGAAGCTCAAGAGTCAAGATAGAGAGTACATGTAGTCGGCATCGGAGTCGGAATCGGACTCGTGGAGGCCCACCAGGACCAGCAAACCCGGCCCAATCTCCGACACCGTGCGCCCTTCTACCTGCAAATGCGAGCAATTTGCTATCTTACGCCGCTGAGGCGTTGGATAATGAAGAAAAAGAAAATAAAGAGAGAAAATGTCTGTGAATATGAATCTGTACGGACTGACCTCGACGCTTGCGGAGGCGACTCGCTGGACCACGGCTCTCATCGCTCTGATTGGTTTGGGTTTCGATTGGAAGCGGGAGGAGTTGTGGGCTTGGACTTGGAGAGGCGCTGGCAATGCCAATGGCAGGCAGTACATGTTTTTCTTATATTTTTCTTATTTTATTATGCCCCTAAATAAATAAATAAATAGACATCTTTTTTTTATTGTTTTTATTCCGCGTGGAAATGATACAAACAGAAACCAGTCAACTTGTTGAATGTCCTTGAAGACCATCCGCGTCTATAAACAAAAAAACTTGTATGAAACAGGAATAACACTATTTTGCTATCTTTAACTAATTACATACACCATGATTTACACAAGTCGTAGATTCCACCCAACCCAACCAATCATAAACACCATGATTGTGGGAGCAAATTTCCGTCCCACTAGAATATTCGTCTAAGATTCCTTCGTCTTTTTCACTTCTCTTTTTCCATGCAAAACAAATCGGGGTAAAAGGACCACACCCGGGGGGTGTTGGCCAAAGACCATCCGATGCCTAAGTTAGATAGGGTATTTCAAGGAAAACCGGGTGGCAGGAGCCTTGTGTGGTGGCCGAAGCCTTGTGTCAGAGAGAGAAAGAATATGGTGAAAGGAATTATTTGACTTAGGGTCTGATTTAATTCGGTTCCCACAATGATCAAGTTGATTCAAACCCTAAAAGCGCCTTGATTTGCAGAAGTTGTATATTCCAACCTTCATGACACCTTATTGTTGTGTGTGCGAGAAATTCCTCTCCACTTATTTTTAGTTTTTTTTATGGCTTGTATTAAAAATAAAAAGAAATTTGTACAATATTTCTGTCATAAAGTAGGTTTTTTTTATAATCCTTTTTGTATGTCTTATTGTTGATCAGATTCTTGCCTTGTACGCCAAGGATATTCCAGCCAATATATATATATATATATATATATATATATCATTGTACATATGTGTTGTAATATCATTTAACAACTCTACAATTTTTATTCATACCATTCATTCGGTTTGGTTTACTGCTCGCTGAGTCACAAAGAGAGGAAAGAGATGTTGGATATCAATCTGTTTAGAGAAAAGAGGGGCGATAACCCCGAAATCATTCGTGAGTCTCAACGTCGTCGTTTCAAAAACGTTGACCTCGTCGATCAGGTCATCCAGCTCGACGAAGACTGGCGTCAGCGTAAGTTCGAGCTCGACCGTCTTCGCAAAGACTTGAACAGCATCAACAAGCGAGTTGCTCAGCTGAGAATTGTCAGTGTTTCATCTCTCTATCTTTATCTTAGATTTTTCTTTGATTATATTCTTATTTCTGTTGGCCTTTATTGTCTGCTGCTAGTGGAAAATCTAAAACTTTCAAGTGTTCTCAAATCATCAATTTGAATAAATAGCAAGATTGAGAAAATTATTTAATGGGATTGTTTGTTTAATTGTTTTTATATGGAATTATTTTAGTCTTGGAATTGGAGTGAGTGAGTGGTGATTTTGTAGGCTTGCAGTGTGTAGAAACTTCAATTAATTTTTGGATCCTAACCCTACACAGATTATGTTTGAGTAAAACAGAGAATCTCAGGTCATTAGAAAATCCAGTAATATCATATTTCATTCCCTCCTGCTCTTACAAACTGAAACGGATTCTTTTCGTGCCACCAAATGCAGTTTCGATGAACCATTTTTGAATTAATTTGTATCTACATTTGTTTCTATATCGAAATCTTGGCTTGTTGTTGTTGTTGTTGTTGTTGTTGTTGTTGTTTATATAACTGAATGTTTGAGTTGATTTATAGGCGGGTGGCGATGCGACTGAGTTGATTAACAGCACAGAGGAAAATGGGAGGTTGGCGGCAGAGAAAGAAGCTGAAGTGCTTTAGAACTGTTGAACACAAAGTTGGAAGAAATTGGAAACATTGTGCATGATTCAGTTCCCGTCAGCGATGATGAGGCAAACAATGCTGTGATTAGATCGTGGGGTAAGAAGCGATTGCAGGAGCCAACACTAAAAAATCATGTTGAGCTCGTTAAGCTTGCTGAGATTGCAGAGTTTGCAAGAGGTGCTGAAGTGGCTGGCAGCAGAGGTTTTTACCTGAAACATGTTGGCATGCTCCTGGATCGAGCTCTGACCCACTTTGCTGTCGATTTTCTTGTGGAAAGGGGATATGAGGGATTGCGGCCTCTACCATTTATGACAAAGGATATGATTGCTACATCTGAACAGCCACTTTGTGCATATCATGCAGGTGAGTGGATCCATCCATCCCAGCTGCCAATGAGATACGTTGGACTTTCGGATTGCTTCCGTAAAGAAGCTGGTTCGCACGGTAGAGATACTTTGGGACTATTTAGGACCCACGTGTTTACGAAAGTTGAATAGTTTTGCATTACAAGCCCAGAGGGCAATGACTCTTGGGACAGGCATGAGGAAATGATCAAAAATTCGGAGGACTTCTATAAGGCGCTGAACCTCCCCTATCGTGTTGTGGGCATTGTTTCGGGTGCTTTGAATGGTGCAGCAGCAAAGAAGTATGATCTTGAAGGCTGGTTTCCTGCATCTCAGACATACAGAGAACTGGTCTCGTGTTCAAACTGCACAGACTACCAGTCGAGAAAACTAGAAATTCGATATGGTGAGCAGGGAA